CCAAGGTAGGGTAGAACCACTAGGGTTAATGTGGGAAAGCAGAATGTATGTGGCTGCAGAGACATCTCAAACTACAAGGGGGACCAGGAAACTAAGTTAAGAGGAATCCAGAATCCATGAATTGTAGCCAAAGGGTAAAAATCTCAGAGTAAAAATAAAAATTTAAAAAAAAAAATCTCAGAGTAAAACACAGAATCCTGATGTGCTAATTCTATCTCCCTTTTTAAATTAACACATGGCCTATTGGAAAGTTGTATCTAAGTTCTACACTCCCCAAGATGTCCATAGATACGAATTTGCATGTTGACTAGAGAAGAGAGCAGAAAAGAGAAGAAACTCAGGGTGTTTCTGATCTTTTCTTCTTCTTCTTCTTCTTCTTCTTTTTTTTTTTTTTGAGAGAGAGGAAGGAGGAAATATATAGAGACAGAAATATCCCAAAAGACTTCAATTAGGAGTTTCCTAGACCCATCATCACACTGTTTATCATTTCATGAAAAAAAAAATGTGCTGCTAATGCAGAGAAAAACAGACATACCGATTAGAAAGATTGCATCCGAAGATGATTTTCCATATTGCTGTTCCAGGTATTTAGGCATGAAAGAGATCATATTAACGAATGCATTGAACTGTATCACACTTATAAGTATGAAAAGCATGTAAATTGGGTTGCATGAAAGGCTTTTCATGAACGGTAAAAAATCTGAAATGAAGAATCACAACAGTGTCAAACCAACTTGGCTTTCTTTGCATTTTGAATTGGCTTTTCTGGAAACAGAAATTTTTTTTTCCCCTGTCTTATAATGTGTACATGTTTATTAGTTCTTTTAACCACTTGAAAACTGGAGTGATAGCATTGCCTTAGCAACTTCTAGAAGTCAGTAGGTATGTATAGGTGACTGAGTAGGAATCAGAGCGCAATAGTTTTGCCTTCGGTAACTCACTATTGGGTCTTCCAGCAAAACTCTAAGGTGAACACAAGATTGTGTCCAAATCATGTCCTTTTCATTCTTCTCTTCATCCTCCTATTAGTATGTATATCGTCCCTTCCTTAGAGATCATCTAGAATGAAAGATGCTTACTTGTTCTATTCTCTCAAGTCTGGGAGGAAATAAATTTGATAAAGAAGTTCATACCCAAATATGGGTTGGTATCCCCCTTGAATATTTACAATGAAGACTTATGCGGGAATGAATGGGATATGAATTGGCTCAAGTACCAGGGATCTTTCTGCTTCTTCAGAATGATAGTTTTGGTGGTTTGCCAATGTATAATAACGGAGTGCACATTAGAATCATCTGCAGCTATTTTTAAAAATACCAACACCCATGTCCCACTCTCGAGATGCTAATCATTCGGCACAAAGAACCTTGTCAATTATTTAACCAAAACTTTTTCCTGTTTGAAAAGGCTCAGAGCCAAATTTGTGGCCATTCTCTAGTAAATGGGCTGGGTCATGGTGCTGCCATTTCAGTTCAAATTTTCATTTCTGCATTTTTGTTTGTTTGTTTGTTTTTTGCTGGGGCCGGGTTTGAACCCCCCACCTCCGGTATATGGGGCCGGCGCCCTACTCCTTGAGCCACAGGTGCCGCCCCCAAATTCTCATTTCTAATTTCTTTTCACTTTGTCTGGTTCATGATCCCTGTCTTGATTCCTTTATTTCTTACTATTCTGGTTTGCTTAATAAACTTCATAAAATTCATTCTGAGATAGCATATTCATAATTGAACAATTTAGAAATTTAGAAGAAGATGGCACACAGCTTAATATAAAGAAACAAATTCTAATTATAGAATTAATATTTACAAATAAGGTACATGACAGGGGAGAGAGTTATTGTCAGAGTTCTTTGGAGCTTTTTCAGTCAGGTTTGCTGACATCCCTGTCCTAATAGATGACTCTCAGTTGTTCAAGTTTATTTTCTATGTGTCTACTATTAAGCTAAGATCTTTCTTAGTTTTGAAAATCAAACTGATCTTGCAGACCACAAGAGGTCTATCATTCTACATCAACCCTTCCAAAAGAGCTGTTAATATAATCTTGATTCTGAGAATTTGCAATATTCTGACTTGGCTCCTAACAAACAAAGAAGTATTAACATTAGTTTAATTGTGGTGAATTTGTAATTGTTAACAAAAATTTTGCGCAAATTAGTGTTGTAACTGATGGATGGGGGAGATATAGAGATAGTAACAATAAAAATACTAATATTAGTAGCCGTAATAACAGTAATGTGTGTCAGAATTCCTTTTACCTTTACACAACAATCTATATTATTACATACTATTATTATCTCCATTATACAGACAAGGAAACTGAGTCCCTCTTCATCCTCCAAAGAAATTCTCCTTGAGAATTCCAGTGCCAGTGCCCAAGACATCATACACCCAAACTTATAATTAAATCAAACCTGCTGGGAATACCACAGAACTTCCAGGTATCAGTAATTTTTCGAATTTCCTAGGTGATTCCAGTGTTTAGCCAAGTTTGAGAATCAGTGCTCTTGAGTACTAAATACTTAGACCCTCTCAGTTTAGTCTCCCATAGAATGACCTGTAAGTTATGTCTTGAGCTTACATTGAGGACCTATATATTTTTTCAGATTAATCTGATGGTACTAACAATTATGTTACAGTATTTGCATTTGTCAGGCAAATCCCTGTTATCTTTGTGTCCCCCACCCAGAAGGTATGCCATCTACACTTACATGGTGCCCATTAGGTGGGAGCATACCAGGGGGCTTATATTTTTAAAAATTACACAAAATATCCCCCTGTGTTTGCTAGAAAACTACTGTGTGGCTCAATATTATCTCTATCATATACCTCATAGGATAATGCTTTTCTTTTCCCTTTTTTTTTTTAGAACTGTGTTCCCTATAAAGCAGATTTTCGAAGCCAATGGGACCAAATATAGAAAGAGTCTAAGTGCCCAGGCTGACATGAAAGTTTATACAAATGCAAATGATCTGAGATAATTCAGCTTCCAAATCACATCATTTATTTTCAAGTAGTAGTATAGGAAGAATTAAGCAATTTAGGCATTATGAACTGGTGACTGATTGTTGATGACAGTTGAACTGTCTTAACACAGCATGTTATAGTTTTAGACTAAAATACAGAAACAGCTATATAAAATGAATAAGACCTTATATAGTATTGAAAATGTTTGTATTTGCCTTTAGTGATTCCATCCTTTTGCTTCTTGACCTCTTCTCTTTGTTTCTCTTCCTTGTTATTTTTAATTATGTCCACATCATGCTCTAGACCTTCCTTTGGAAGTGTTTTGGGCAAAAAGAAAAAGGGAATGGCAGTGAGCACATTCGCTCCTGCACAGATCAAAAAGCCAAACCACCAGGCACCAACCCAGCGAGTGTCCGTGGGAGTTATGGTCAGCTCGTCTGTAAAGAAATAGATGCATTTTCATGAACGTGTCATTATTTCCTGTACAAACAATAGAAAAGTATTAAACTTATAATTCTCAGCTCTATCCAAGGATAAAATTTGTATGTAATTCAAACATTCATAAAATTTGCCTGATAATATGTGGTATTACAATATTGTTTAGTAATAAATTAGTCTGATTATCAGTCTTAACATATATGGAAGTTCAAAATAGATGATTACAAAATAACTGGAAGCTCTGTTAAATTATTCACAAATAATTGCTTGATCAGAAGAAATTAAAACCACTGTGCTTAAATCTTTTGAAACCAAGAACTATGGTTGAAGTGAAATAAAAAGAACCTGGATTTTGAGTCCAATCACAATTTTCTCCTGTTCTACTGCTTACTGGTTTGAAGTATTTGGAAAGTTATTTAAACTCTTCCACTTCAATTTGCTCTCTGGTGAGGTGGAGATCATCTAACCAAAGGTCAGGTAAGGCAATGATTACTGTGATAACACCTGAGACATAGATTTTATTGATTACCTGTGTTCACAGATCCAGTGTCTACGTAAACATTTGCACAGAACGATGCTAACAAAAGTCCGATCAAAGGACCAATGATAGCTCCTGTTTCTATAAACCCTAAAAATAAACAAAAATATAAAGTTACAGTAGAGTTGTATACCCATGTAAAGAGTTTAGGTCCATGAAAAGTCTGAGATTAAATTATTCTTGGTTTATATATTCAATTTGATGTACATATTAGCAATGTTTGTTTCTGTAATTGTTGAAAAAGAAGCCTCATAATTTAAAGAAACTTTCTCTAGTCCTCCAAATTCTTTTTCATGGGTCACAGGTAGAGATTTTTGGTAGCAGCATGGACAGTCCCAGCTGGGATCATTCTGTCCACAGAGCTGCAATATAAAGCAAGAGCCTTTGAATTCTTTCTATAGCAACACCACGTTAAGGGGAATTTCTGCACGTTCCGCAGAAAATCTCTACTCTCCAACCTCCCACTTGAACTTCCTTCTGGCTTCCTTCCCCATTCATGTTATGATACTCACTTTCGGTTTTATCATGATCTCCTTTCTTACCCTTTTCCAATTTAATTAATTAATTAATTAAGAAAGGATCCCTCGTCCTTTCTTAATTTAACATTTCCATCAGTCCTCTCTGTCCCTACTTGAGTTGGAGGTCTTGCCCTACCAAGCTCTCCTTCTGTGTTTATGTCATCTTCCCCATCCAATGACTGTACAACATCTCAGATCCGCCCTGTTTCCTTTCTTTCCACTGCACTCTGTGCCTCTGCTTCCTCACCTCTCACTCACTCAAATCCTTTCACTTTATCCTCCAGACGGTCTCTTTGTCATCCAGTGTCCCGCGTTGGTCTTCATTCTCTTGAATCTCCAGGTTATCTGACAGTACTGGCTACTCCAGGGACACTAGATTTGTGGCATTTCCAATACCACAAAGCAAATTTAACAAAGTAGCTCATTTGGAGTTAGCATAAAACCACTCCATTCAACAAATTTTTATTAATGATCAACTGGGCCAAGGCACTCTGCTCATCATTTTGGAAAACACTAAGAATAAAAATGAATAACTAATTTCTACCATCAGAGAACTTACTACCCTAGAAAGGAGTTAAGGCAGATTCTCAAACTTACCAATATATAAAGGAGAGTTTTCAGATTTGGCAAAATCTTCTATATAGGAAATACCCAAAGGCATGATGGGAGTTTCGCCCACTCCACGTATAATATTTCCTACTAGTACATACACCCACATTAATGATTTAACTTCCTTCATACACTCTGTTTTAAACAACAAAAAAAAGTCATTGCATTAGTACTTAGATAGTCAAAGTGTTGATGATACATAATTCTGAGTGTTCTGTAGATATTTCATAATTCCTATGTGACCAAAGTACCTTGTCAATGATTTCTATTGCTACACCAACAATAAATCATTGGGTCATCTCTATTGCTTTTTATGACAGGTCTGGAAAATCATGAGTATTATGCTGGAGCCAGTTCCTACCGGGCTGGGGAAGATGAATTTGTATCCCTCTTCCAAATTCAGTGTTTAGGGGCAACTCTTTGGTAGTTTGATGAGAGTATGATGCCACAGAAACTTCCAAATACAAAAAATCAAGGCTTTTTTTTCTCTCCCAGTGGTTCAGTTTACCTCTAGCTACTAGATTCAGTTAGTACCTGCAAGTGTTACCCAATTCTTACACAATCTTGAGGAGAGGAGAAACATACACACACACAATCTCTCTCCCTGAAATTGATATATATAAGATTTAAACAAGAGCCTCACTAGTGTTTGAATTCTCTATAGCTCTAATTACTTTATAGAAACTAAAAATATTTGACTGGGTAGTAATGATATTTTCCCTGTAGACCCTGCTGTATACTGTAACCACCAAATAATCCTCAATAAAGAAATCCACCCCAATCTTTGGAGCAGCCATTTCTTAGTAGAATAAGCAAAAAGGATGTAAGGCAGGTAATTGAAAAGGGAAAAGGTAATTGAAATTGGGAAAGATAAGGAGATTTCTGAAGACTTTTATCTGTCCCTTTGTCATTTATGTTCTAAACCAAAATAGGTGGGAAGCCCTGAGGAAGCTCTGTGAACTCATGTTTTTAGGGAAGTGAAGAACAATGTGTTCTGACCTCCTACAAATTGGCCAGGTGCCACCGGACAGGGTCCTGAGTACAGCTGAATCCAGTAATTTATTATGAAGTCTATCTTTCAATCATTCTCAGTCCAGAAAATCATTGTTTCTGATTCTGGGTATTCAGATTTTTTGTATCATGAGCACGATGATTTGTTTCTAGTGATCTAAGGCAAACCCTAGGCCTTTTCTAAGGCAAAACTGAAAATATCAGGTGATGAAAGTTTCAATACACTTTTCTGGAGCTATAACAGAATAAGAAGGTTTGGGTATACCCACTACAATAGAGGCTGCACCTGGATCAGTCTTTGGTGAAAGCCAGTTCAAAAAGAGCACAGGCTTCTGTTGATATCATTGTTTTCCTTTGTTTCCTGAGGGGCGTCTTTGGCTTAGAGCTTTTGAGACAACTATTTTTCAATTCTTTGACTATTGTGATTCCCTCTGCTTCAACAGAAGCAGTGAAATCCCCAGTCTTGGGGCCTACTGTATTGACAGGAATTCATCACTGACAACAGGAGAAACTCTAGGCCGACAGTAAGTCTACAGAGTCACGCCCAGGCAAAGTATCACCAGAAGATTATACAGGTACCTTAGCATATGAAGAGGCAGAAGCCAGTATCATGGTGCCTGGGCCTACAGGAAGCTAGAAGCAGCACCACGATTGTGTTCAGTGGTAAAGTAGAATTTCCAGTAAAGAGGACAAAGGGAACAGAAAGACAAGTTCCTCGTACAGTAAAAAGGGAGTAGAGAAATTCAGAAATGTAGCCTACGTGTCTGTTTTCCTTGTTACAGGAGATCAGTATCTAATAAAAATCCCTTGAACTTTGTTTCTATCTTTATTTCCTGTTTACACAATCCTATAAACTAAATTATCAGCATAAATCCATCCTTCTAAGACATTTTCCACTTAGGATTAATTCTGCAGTGGTTCTTGGGTAGATGTCTTTGACTCACTTTAACCGTTTTAAGAAATAGAAAAGGCAGCCTTAATAAATGCATTCAAATATAAGAGAAGTAACATTCTGTATTATTTGTCATTCTTATTCCGTCTGATGACCCTTTCCAAAATCCCTGAAGGGAGAAAATATCTTTCATTCATCACCTTACTTACTTAACCAAACCCAACTAAGTATCTCATTCAAAGACCCTCAGCAGAAAGTGTTCACTTACAAATTCACTGAATAGAAAGCAATAAAATGAAGTAAACCACCTGATGGATCTTGTGTTGGTCTTAAAACCTGGGTTCCATTTTCCGTACACAAGAAACTGGTTGAGGACACGTTGCCTGAAACTGAAACTGTAGATTCGTATTCATATCTGTAGGAACACAGGGAAAACACGTTGATGTTAAGAAGCTCATGAGAACAACACGGGCCATGTGCGGGTTATTCACTATTGCTTCCTGTAAGCCCCAATATCCAAAGCCAACAGGAATGTCTTCTCGTCTTTGCCATTCTAATTATCACAAATTATTATCATCAAAATAAGTCTCTGCTCATATAAATGTATAATCCTTTTATACAATAGCATTCTTCAACAATCTGCCTGTGGGTCATCTACCTTTAGATCAGCTAACATTAACTTTCTGTGACTTTTAGGTGATCATTTCCTGGAAGTAATTACTGTGAGATAAGGAACCAAAAAAACTAAGAAAAATAAGAGATTCAGTAAAGTATAATTATGAAGATAAAGGCTTTAGAAGAAATAACAACAGGTCTCCAACTTTGGATTCTCTGCGGTTTGCTTGTAAGAAGGATGACCTTTACTTTATGAGAATCCAAACAATAATTCTTCCAAGGTGTTTCATTAACCCCTCAGAAAAACAAAATAGTTGCCTCTCATGATGAGAGATCTTGGGAGAAGCTCAATCACTGTGACGGGATAGCTAGTGACTTTTCTCATAAGAATAAAAGGATTAATGGACTGTGACCGTTCAACGTGGGCAAATTACAAAAAAATCCTTATGTCTTTTCTCAGAAAATGAATTATACGCGGCAACAATGGAGGGAAACATCAAGTCTCTCTTTGTTAGAAGTTATGCTGGATTGCTTTCTACGCTCCTGTTCGATAACAAAAACAAAACAAACAAACAGAAAAAGAAACTCGCCCTCTGAGGTCCACGTGGGCTATTTGGATGCCACCAATATTCAATTTCTATGCTATAGGACATAATAAAAGAGATAAAATACCTTCCCATTAGGCCAATTGCCCAGCCATGCTCACAGAGTTTGGCTGTGAGCTGTGGACAAAGGTTTCTTTCTCCACAGTCATGATCCCATGAGACGTGACAGCCTCAAAGAAATGACCCCTTTGGCAAATAGTGGAAAGAGTTGTAAATAATAGCTGAAGATGAGTTAAAATTGTCCTGAATAGAACACAGCATAAAAATTAAAACTAGAAACTCTTGATCCCTTCAAAAGTACCTGAAAAGACAAAATATATTTTGTTCACTTAATTTATCCACTTAAAATCCCATAACTCCTTTTAAGTCCTTTCATTCTGAAAACACCAGCAAAAGAAGAAAAAGATAGTAAATACATTTTAAAACAGAAAAAAACGAGAGACATCCTTCCACAAAGACAAAGGAATTGAGCGATTTGAGCGTTGAAATTGGAAAAACAAGTAAGTGACTGGTCGATCACTGGATCATACCTCCCTAGAAACATAACCTTAAGTGCCTGCAAGGGGGCAATCAAGCACTCGCCACACATCACCAGGAAGCTTCTGGCAAAGAATCTCATAAATGCAAAAGTGGGCATGTTCAAGTTCCATTTGAGAGAATTTTGCAGGGGCAGCGGCGCCTGCGCAGAGGGAAAGCGGACTCCACCCTCGGGGGCTGGGTGGTGGGAATGCGGGCTTGCGCTCTGCACCTCGGCAATGCTATTGCCGGTGGAACAGTTGCTTTTCACTTGCCCAGCAGACAAGATGTTTGGTTTTCACAAGCCAAAGATGCAGAGAAGTATAGAGGGCTGCTATATTTGCAGTTAAGTCCTCTAGTTCTCCATTCACTGACAGTAAACGAAAGGGCTTCCAGAGCTCTTTTAAGCTGCGTGAAACTCGTTCCAGAGACATCTGCAATGCCTGTGTCCTGCTTGCGCAAAGATAAAAGAAGTTGCAAGCAGGATCAAAGGAAATCGGCACCATGGAATACTATTCAGCCATAAAAAGATGGTGACTTCACATCTTTTGTAATATCCTGGATGGAATTGAAACACATTCTTCTTAGTAAAGTATCACAGAATGGAAAAACAATTATCCAATGTACTCAATATTAATATGAAGGCAGGAGACGATCTGATGAAGAACTCATTTCAACTCAGAGATGAAAAACTCATTTCAATTCAAGTGGGGGGAGGCATAACGGGGAAGCGGGTGGGTTCTGGGGGTGCTCTCACTGAATGGGCATGGTGTGGGGGTGTTTGCCACACCTTGTATGTGTGGGACATAACCACAAGAGGGACCCTATCTAACAAAATCAAATATTTTGACCTGGTGGTCTGTACCCTCACGTTAATCTGAAATAAATTTACTTTAAAAAAAAAATGGGAAGCGGTGCCTGTGGCTCAAAGAAGTAGGGTGCAAGCCCCATATGCTGGAGGTGGTGGGTTCAAACCCAGCCTGGGCCAAAAACTACAAAGAAAAAAAAAACTGGAATCATGTGGTAGATTCAAGAGCAGGACCCAGTCTAAAGACTACTTTGAAACAAAAGAAAGTGAAAACTTTGTCTGGAAACAGGATAAAAGGTAACCAGATCAGTAAACTGCAGAAAGAATTTAAACATCATGATTCTGATGCTCACAGTACCCCCTTGAGCACTCTCTCCAGCTCATCTTGTCACAGCAACCAGTCAGATGATGGCTCAGATACAGAGCTGGCTTCTGCTTGTACTAGAACACCGTCTCACGTGCTGGAGAAGACTCGAAATACATCGTGGGATTATCTATACAGGCGTTTGGGGTAAGGCTCTATTCAAACCCGCTGCAGCAACAAGAAAGCCACCGCTGAGAAGCCCCAGGAGCAGGGCCCAGAGCCTCTGTGTGCATCTCTGTCAGGAGGGGAGACTGAGGTTTTTATGTAGGAGGGGGAACAAAAAACGATTTAAATTTTGAAAAGATCACAAAGCAACAAACTGACCCTATGCTTTTTTTGTTGTTGTCGTTAACTGTTTAGGATTCCGGGAGGGTAGAAAGAATTAGGTTACAAAGAATCAGGTTAGATTGCATTTGTTAGGTAAAGTCCCTCTCACAATTGTTTCCCACCCCTAAGAGGTGCACCATGTACCGTGACCCCTAACCCCCTTCCTCCTCCTCTCTCCCAGCTCCCTCATTTCCCTAATCCCCACTTTGTATTAGGTCCTGTAGCAAGGGTCCTCAAACTTCTTAAACAGGGGGCCAGTTCACTGTCCCTCAGACCATTGGAGGGCCGGACTGCCATTGGAGGGCCAGGACCAGTCAGCTGCTAAGCAGGGCAGGCAGCGGTGACAAAAAACACCCGGCAGGCTGGATAAATGTCCTAGGTGGGCTGCATGTGTCCCGCAGGCCATAGTTTGAAGGCGCCTGATCTACTGCCCTCATGTTAGAATTGATACATTGGATTCTTGCTTCTCCAATCTTGTGATGCTTTACTAAGAAGACCTTCCTATTTTTAACTTGGATATCTGCTATTCTCCCCGAAGACAACTCTTAGAATAGTTTTGAGTGGGTTATTTTCCCGCCCAGTTCCACAAACTCTGAAGTCAGCATCTAGGTGACTAAAAAAGAATAGTACATAATATTTAAGATGCTGAGTATTTCATAGGAAAGCTGAACGCTGCTGTAAAGAGCTCTTTAAGTCATCTTTTTTTAAAAAATATCCCTTTCTAATGAATGAAACTAAGGGGAATTTCAGGGGACAGAGATGGGATTTGTTGTATGATAAACAGTAGGTACTGTTAGTCTTTCTATATTGAGAAGCAGTAGTTGGGGCATTTTTTAAGATGGCTGGCTACACCTTTTTTATCCTCATGTTAATGATTTTGTCATAACACAGTAACATAGACTTTCCCTAGAGGCAATTGTTAATAATTTTGAAATAGTAAGGTCTTGCCAAGGTTGTGTAAGGTCTTGCCAAGATGATTCAAACCTGTACTACTGATTATTAAACAGGACAGGCTGAGCTTTCTATTACAAATACCTTGAAGGAAGAAGTAATTTCTACATATACAAAGAGGTAACTATATATTTTGTATCTTGTGCCACTTCTTCATATTAATATTTGATAAAGATTTTAATTCATGTGGAATTTCTAAAGCAGAATGAAAGCTCCTCTTGAGGAAATGGCAAGTCTTTAGGATAAGTGAGATCCCCATATGAATAGTAGCAAAATATTAAAAAGTGGTAGACAGGGTGGCGCCTGTGGCTCAAAGGAGTATGGCGCCAGCCCCATATGCTGGAGGTGGCGGGTTCAAACCCAACCCCAGCCAAAAACTGCAAATAAAAAGGTAGACAACATAGTTTGTGAAAAATGTTTAACTGTCTAAAAAACAAAATGTTCACATCTTCAGGACAGCCCAAAACAAAGGTTAACGCTTTGGGGGGCATATTTCTTAGAGGGCTTGCCGAGTATGTAAATAATTGACTTTTGTTTGTGTTTCATGACTGATGACGTCACTGAAGATCTGCACAAGTCAGTTGTAGCTCTGGATTAGTCAGTTGACCTTTGTGAAGCTTTTATCTGTGTAGAGTGGATGTTTAACTTGTTTTAACTTGTTTTTATTTTTTTTTCACTCTACATTTAAAGTAAAATTTACCAAAAGAAAAGAGGTGTGTGTTAGAGGTAAGTGGGTTGGTTGTGGTTTGGCTTCTTTTAGTCAGGGTTTCTGAACATTGAGATACCCTGCTTGGAGTTCTTCAATTCTAAAATCATTCAAAGCCTCTCACCTGAACCCAAACCAAAGTATTCTTACTGCCTCTTTTCTGAAAATTCAGGAGAAAAATATTACCAGTTCAGACTTTTCATGAGGGAGGAGCATTTGCTTGCCTTATAATGACATGACTTAGTTTTTATTTTTTGAACTGGATTTTAAAAATTGGGTAGTATGAAAATAAGAAGTGAGCCACGTTTTTTTTTGAGACAGAGTTTCACTTTGTCATCCTCAGTAGAGTGCTGTGGTGTTACAGCTCACAGCAACCTCAAATTCTTGGGCTTAAGCGATTCTCTTGCCTCAGTCTCTCAAGTGGCTGGGACTATAGGTGCCTGCCACAACGTCTGGCTATTTTTATTTTTTGGTTGTAGTTGTCATTGTTGTTTGGCATGCCAGGGCTGGATTCAAACCCACCAGCTCTGGTGTATGTGTCTGACACCCTAGCTGCTGAGCTACAGGCACCAAGCCAGGAGTGAGCCACTTTTTGTGGAAACCCTGTAGTTTTATAGTTCTTAATCTAAATATCCTCTCCCTCTTCTTAGAAAATACCTACATGCTATCCGCTACCATATGCACAGACTACACAGGTAGTTGGGTTGACTCTCTTTGAGATGAACTACAGGAGTGCAGCCATATCATCCTCCTGAGTTATTTTGAAAAAAATTTCTTTTTAATTTTGGCTACAGTATTGGTAGTAGAATATACTATGATAGAGATCATCTCTACTTCTGTATTTATTTATTACTAGACCTCAATCACAGTCCTCTCCTTTCCTTCCCACCTCTCTTTGCCGATAGCATGTACTGTATGTAGTCGTGCACTTTGTATTAATATATTAGAAATCTGCAGATCTGCTTTTTATACTATTGGATACTTATAATCAAAATTTTTACTGGGCTATTGAATAAATTTAGTCTTCTTATTAAAAAAAAAAAAAAAAAAAAAAGGTGGGCATGCTCCAAAAAACAAAAGAGTTTGAACACTTTGGTTTTACGTGTGTTAAAGGAGCAGGTAGACTCCCAGAGGCACACCCTGCCACCACATTGACTCTGGAGTCTGGAGAAGCACATTGAGGATACGAGGCCATGCTAAAAACTGGGGATATTGAGTTAAAAAAAAATCTACATGCTAAAAAATGAGATTGCCACTCCAATCTGGCTAGGCCAAAGTTGTACCTCCAAGGTTGTATCTCTATCTGGTATAACTAACAGGTGTTGTGCAGTTCTAAGCCATCTATAAAACAGCCAGTCCTTGCACAATTACTCTACAAAGGCCTCCATTAACTGAGCCCTACACTTGTATCCAGAACTCCCAGTTAGCTTGTTGTTGTTGTTATTCTCCCCTATTACATACAAATAGATAACCAAAGACTACCAGATATACGAGAGAAGCTCATAACAGAGACAGACATAAACAAAAAAATTGTGCACTCGGAGGAGCCAGAGACAAAGACGTATGAAGAAAATGTAGATGGGAAAAGACACTGCTTTCTCAAAAGAATAATAAGGCGTTCCTTTAAAAGAAACAAAGAACACGAGTCCTTGGAAATTAAAAATATGATCATATAAGCTAGAATGCCATTCAAAGGTTTGGAAGATAACGTTAAATCTCCCAGAAAGGAACCAGAAGATAAGAAGATGGAAAATTAAGAGGAAAACATAAGAAAAACATAAGCCTAATCCAGGATGTCTGATATTCAAATAGTAGAAATTCTAGAAAGAGAAAACAGAAAACAGTTGGGGGGGGGGTGAGAAGAGGTATGGGGGAGATATTATCAAAGAAATAACGCAAATAACTTTTCCTAATGTTCAGATTGAAATCATCTAGCCCAGTGGAGGAGAAGGATTTACATTAAGACAGTGAATATACATTTTGGACTCTGGGGTTAAAAAGAAAATCCTAATAGTTCCCAAAGAAAGGAAACTGATCAAAGAAATTAGAATGGCATAATAAAATTTGATGCTGGAAAATATTAGGAAAAATGTCTTCAAATTCCCCAGGGAAATTTTTTCTAATCTAGAATGCAAATTAATACCAGTCAAACTATCAGTCAAGTATGGGAGTAGAATAGGAACATTTCCAGGTGTACAATGTCTTAAATTGTATACCTCCCTTGCACTCTTAGATTATTTTCTTCACAAGAAGTGAGAAGCCAGATATGGTGGCTAATGCCTGTCATCCCAGCACTTGGGGATGCCAAGGTAGGAAGATCGCTTGAGGCCTGGAGTTGAGACCTGTCTGGGTAACAGCAAGACTCAACTCTATAACAACAACAACAGCAACAACAACAACAACCAAAAAAAAAAAAAAGCAAAAAAGGAAAGCAGAAGATGTGACACCTAGGAAATGAGTAACTACATTCAAAAAAGAAATAAAGCAAATTCTCAAGGATGAGAATGGAGGAAAAATTCCAAGGAAATAGCAATGCCTAGACAATTCCCATTTCAACCGCAGGTGGAGAACTGAAGGTATAGGAGAGGTATTTCTAAGCCACAAATGATATACTTTGATATTGATGAGTACATTGAGAAGATATTTGCCCTACCGGTGAAGAATTTGGTGATAAATGAGTAAGAAATACAAAGAAAACTAATCAAACATAAAAATTTGGTAATTATTAAATCCATAAAAAATTAAAAGTTATAGAAGAAAAGAGTGACAACAGCCCGAGTTAGTGGTGAAAAATATTTACACAGTCATATGCATATAAACAGTGAATATGCTTTTATACTGGAATTCAACATATATTACATAAAAAACTACAGCCATATCTCAGAGATATTTTGAGTTTGGTTTCAGGCCAACACAATAAAGTGAATATTTCAATAAAGATAGTCACACAAACTTTTATTCCCCAGTGCATGTAAAAATTATGATTACACTATATTGTGGTCTATTAAGAGTGTAATGGCATTATGTCTAAAACATGTTTGTACTCTAATTTAAAAATATCTTATTGCTAAAAAATTACTAAGGATAATTGAAGTCTTCCATGAGTCATAATCTTTTTGCTGGTGGAAGGTCTTGCCTCAATGTTGATGGCTGCTGACTGATGGCCTGGTGGTTGCAGAAGGTTGTGGTGGCTGTGACAATATATTAAAAGAAGATAATAATGACATTTTCTGCATCAATTAACTCTTTCACAAAAGATTTCCGTGTGGTACACAATACTGTTTGATAGCATTTTACCCACAGTAGAACTTCTTTCAAAACTTGAGTCAGATGTCTCAAGCCCTTCCACTGCTTTATCAGCAAAGTTCATGTATAAAACATATTTTGTTGTCATTTCATCAACATTCCCAGCATCTTCACCAAGATCTTCTCTCTCAATAAACCTTTCTTTTTTTTGGCTCATCCAAGAGAAGTAACTCCTCAACCATTCAAGTTATATGATGAATTCAATCACATTTTGAGGCTTCGTTTCTAATTCTAGTTTTCTTGCTATTTCTACCACATTTTCAGTTACTTCCTTCACTGAAGTCTTAACCCCTCAAAGCCTTCCATGAGAGTTGGAATCAACTTCTTCCAAACTCCTATTAACAGTTATGTTCTAACCTCCTCTCTTGAATCATGAATGTTCTTAAAGGCAAATGTTCTAGAATGGTGACTATTTTCCAGGAGGTTCTCAGTTTACTTGAACTAAATCCATGAGAGGAGTCACTAGCCATGACAATCAGAGTTGTGGGGTGACCAGGTGAATTGTCAATGAGCAGAAATATTTTTAAAGGAATCTCTTTTCTGTGCAGTAACATTCAGTAAACCATGCTGTCAACAAATGTGCTGTCATCCAGGCTTTGGTGTGCCATTTACAGAGCACAGGGAAAGTCAATTTACCATAATTCACAAAGGCCCAGAGATTCTCAGGATGGTAAATGAACGTTGGCTTCCACTTAAAATCATCAGCAGCAGCATTAGAGTCAGGCTGTTCTTTGAAGCTTCAAAGCCTGGCGTTGACTCCTCTAACTCGGAAAGTCCTAAATGTCGTCTTCTTCCAATAGATGGCTGCTTCGTGTACACTGAAAATTTGTTGTTTGGTGTAGCCACTTTTATCAATGATCCTAACCAGAACTTCTGGATAACTTGCTGCAGCTTCTGCATCAGCACCTGCTGCTTCACCTTGTATTTTTATGTTATGGAGATAACTTCTTTCCTTAAACCTGGTGAACCAACCTCTAGTAGCATCATCCTGTTCTCCTGCAGTGTTCTTGCTTCTCTCAGCCATCATAGGATTAAAGAGTTAGGGTCTTGCTCTAGATAAGGTTTTGGCTTAAGGGAATGTTGTGGCTGGGTTGGTCTTTATTCCTGATGACTCAAAATTTCCTCCAGAGTAGCAATAAGGTTGTTCTTCTTTCTTATTCAAGTGTTCGCTGGAGTAGCACTTTTAATTTTTTTCAAGATAAAAAATTATTTTTTTGCATTCACAACTTGGCTAACCAGTGCAAGAGCCTAGCTTTAAACCTATCCTGGCTGTTGATATGCCCTTCTCACAAAGCTTTCTCATTTCTAGCATTGATGTCAAGTGACAGATAATGCAACTCAAATGTTTAGAGGCCATTGAAGGTTAAGTATTGGCCTAACTTCGATATATTTGTATCTCAAGATATAGGGAGGCCTAAGGAGAGGGAGGGAGATGGAGCAGTCAGAACATACACAAACATTTATTAAGTTCATCACCTTTCATGGGCAGGGTTTATAAATCTCAAAACAATTATAATAAAACATCAAAGATTGCAGATTATGGATTATCATAACAAATACAATAATAAAGAAAAAGTTTGAAATCTTGCAAAAAATTACCAAAATGTGACATAAAGACACAAAGTAAGCATGTGCTGTTGGAAAAATGGTACCAATAGACTTGCTTGTCATGGGGTTACCTCAAACATTCAATTTGTAAAAAACACACAGACTGCTCTGCCTCTTAGTGAAACGACAATTAAGCAGAATCTCATAATAACTAAAAAGGTCCAAATAATCCTAAGAAAGGCTTTATACCAAATCTCGGCTGTTCCTAAGAATCATTTCATCAAGTTCAAATCCATAAAAGAAGCATCCCAAATCCCTATTGCATCCATTGACAAAAAATGAGTGGGCAAGTGGAAGTGAGGTCACCAGTGGCATAAGACAGAAGGCAGAACAGAATTTGAATGTTACTTCTCCTATTACAATGCTCTATGCTTTTATAAGCATTGCTCCTAGAGAGAAAAGCACAAGTTTCTTTTCCTGCAGATAAAATTTGGACCTAAAAAAAATCATCAAAAACTGGAATACTCACCGGTTCATGAGGAAATGAGGTAGCGATTGTAAGAAACACCCTAAGCCCATGACCACACATCCGACACCAATCATTATAGGTCTATGCAGTTTGGTCCCAAAATAACTCACAAATATAATCAGTAAAAGATTTCCTAGGAAAAAAGATGAAGAATACTCATGTTAATAAGAAAGAACAAAGCGTTAGTAAACAGCCTCCCTCAATCATTTATGCTCTAGCATCTACTGTATAGCAACTATCTCAACCACAGATTTGTGCTAGCACTGCATTAAACAAATGACTGAGACACAGCCCTGTCCTGAAGAAGAGCTCTGTTTTGCAATGTAGACATAAACAGATATGTGTGGGACACCGACATTTAAAAAGGAAGAGAAGCCAGTAAAAAGGACTACAGAATGGTTCTAGGAAATGTTAAAGGCTCTATCTGTGATTATCTAGACTTGGGAAATGAGATGCAAAAGCAGGTGTCAGCTGCACCTCTGGTCTTTCTGTGTGCGTTCCATAGAACAGTGTAAGTGTGCTCCCATGCTCAAGAAGAGACACAAAAGTCAAATTCGGATAGATGCACGTTTTTAAACTCATCATTCAAAGATAACTTTAGGGGTGGCGCCCATAGCTCAGTTGGTAGGGCGCCAGCCACATGCCCTCAGCCCCAGCCAGCTAAACAACAATGACAATTGCAACAATGACAACAAATAGCCAGGCATTGTGGCAGATGCCTATAGTTCCAGCTACTTGGGAGGCTGAGGCAAGAGAATCGCTTAAGCCCAAGAGTTTGAGGTTGCTCTGAGCTGTGACACTATGGCGCTCTACACAGGGCAATAACTTGAAAATAAAACAAAGATAACTTCAGTTTTTCCTCAAGGAGTTAATTTTCTAAGTGGCGTTATATATTTTAAAGACTTCTTTTAAACTCCGTTTCTCTCTAATCTGCCTTGTATGTAGGAGAGATGTCAACATGTACATTATTTTATGTGGAGAGTGGCCCACCTCTGTCACCAGATCAGCCATAATGGCCTCTCTTAATTCCTAAAATCCTGTAATTCAAGCCACCCAGGTTAAAGACAATGTCTCCAGAGGCTATTGTTTGAAATCCACATTTCCTAAGGTCTCTGTTATCTCCACTACTTTCTACCTTCTAAATTGGCTACAACTTAAAGAGCCCTGGTGAAGCGTCTCCATTATCTCCGTATTATAAAACCCAGGGAATAGCTTTTCATTTTTACCTGATTGGATATTTCAAATGCTTTTGACACTGTTGTGCTTTGTTTTTAACTCCCTTGTCCCCTCTAGTGCCACTCTTTCCAAGTTGCCCTCATTCTTTTAACCATTCCTTCTCTTGACACTTTCGTGAGCTCTTTTTCTTCCATCTATTCCTTAAACATTGGGCACCTCAAAGATCCATTGTCTGTTCATTGTACTTATCACCCTGTAGCCTCTCCCTAAATGACTTCCTCTACTCTTTAGTTTTAACAAGGATCTGAGATCATACGGCATCATGTTGCTAAAGGGGTGCTTGGCAAAGAAAGATTAAGAGCCCTTCCAATTCTCAGTGACTCTTCCTCACCTAAGGGACACATATAAACTCCACAGCAAGGACACAAAGCTCTCCAGAGTTCCTTCTTACCCCTCCCTCTTCCTCCAGGCCCATATCTTAATAATGTTCACCTTCATCTTGGCTGACTGATCGTATTGAGCTGAATGTTGGTCCCCACACGTGCTACTATCCTGCCTCATTCTTTTGCTGCTTCTTCTATTGGAACTCCCCTCACCCTAACCTAACCCCATTTCTTCACCTGGAAAACTCCTACTCATCCTTTCAAATCCTATTTCCCCTAAGTGAGGTGCTGTTCCCTTTTCTGTTCCTATCGGACCTCACAGATACTACGTATGTGCATTCTTTACTGCATTCAATTAAAACTATTATTTGCATCTATAACTGCAGTTAAACTGTGAACTAAGTCTAAGCACGGATAACCTAAGGAATGTGTTCTAACTCTGTCACCAGGATCCAGCACACGGGTGTTACAGAGTAAGATCTAAGGGAGTTAAATGCTAGGAAAACAACATAAAGCATCATCTGTTTCAGTTTTGCTTCTCAATCCTGATTTTTCTCTCAAATATTGGTTAATTATATTGAAGGCAATTTTCACCTTGAAAAAAGTAGAAGCTGTTATAAAACTAGAAAGGAGTGGTATGCGTATGTCTATGTAGATTTGTTCCTAGAAGAAATCTTTCTCTGCCTCCCTTTCCTCACCCATTCCCAGGTATCCACAAAAATCAGAACCTATGAGGAGAATGTTCTTCCCTAGGGGCTGTTTTTGAAATATTCTAAATTCAGAGAGACATGAAATCAATTCCTGCTTCTGTCTGCACTTAGAAAAGAGAATTGTCAACTTCTCAGATGAAACAGGAAGAAAATTATTGCATTCTCAATTGTAAAACAGATTCCTTTGGTCTCCCACAATATCTTCTTAATATAAAAATAGACATCTTAGTTTCCCTTAGAGTTATCAAATGATAGTTTTAAATATAAATAAATACTCTGCTCCTCATGCTACATAACCAAGAAACTATTAGGACAAAAAAGATAATGGTGGCCATGTGGCCATATTTAGGTGTTGTTAGGAGGTCATGTTTACATGAATTATTTCTAAGCATATTCCAAGCATAGGCAGGCTATTCAATCATTTTTAGAAAACAAGTAACTCACTCAGATTAAATGACCTAAAGTAGCAAACAAGGAAAATAAAATTCAGACTAGCTCCATGTATAAAACAAAATGAAGGAAAAGGAATGCAACAATCATTCATTACCAATCTCAAAGCTTCCATTAATAAATCCAACCAGAGATGTCGGGATGTTGAACTGTCTCTCTACTTGTGTAAGCATGGAATTCATGTAAGATCCAGAAAGTGTTTTGGATACATATGCACATGTTATTGCCAACAAAAACATCTAGGGGGGGAAAAAATAAGAAAGCAGAGAAAAACTTATTTTTAAATTGTACATTTGCCATCTGGTGACAAAATGTCTTCTACCATGAGAACTCAAAGTGAGACTTATTTTGTAGGTAGTTGTAGCCTCATTATTTTACAAGCATACTTTGTGCATAGAAACCAATTGTCAGTAAAACATAGCTGATGACTCAAATAGCTCTTCAGCACTCCAAGGCTATCTGTAGTACAAAAGAATTCGTGCATATATTTTAATAAAAAGAAGGAATGCAGAATTACACAAAGACATTGTTTCTCCAGAAAATTTGCTCAAGTTCTTTCTGTAGGACAGCAGATGACCTCGGTCAGTCCAGCTCTTCACCCTTCTTGTTTGCAGTTCAAAGGCAGAAATCTACTGAGAACGTAGGATGTTGTGTTCTCAGTAATGGAGAAAATGTCCAGAACAATCTGAGCTGTATGTCCTCAATCTTTCCAGAATATGTTGCTCTGCAACATCTCAGCCATCCCAGTGGTTCCCAGAGTACACAAACCCAGGGAGCAGTGTTTTCAGGGTTCCTCAGCTGCAATGCCAAGGGGTGACCATGCACAGATGAGACTCCATCCAGCCTGTGCAGCTTTCCTGAGCTTTGGGAAACCAGCTGGCATGGATCACAAGTTTCTGTTTATTTTTGCTGCCAAGCTAGTATGCATACTCCAAAGTTTCATATGTTGGATCAATTCCATTTCCTATGTATTGATAGAGGTCCAGAAACCAGTGAGTCAACTCAATTCATAAACAGCATCAAGGACAACTTAACAAATAGACAGATTGTGATTACCAGCAGCTCATATAATATCACTAAAACTGTGAAAAGTTGAATTCTGATAGGTTTATTAAGTCAGACGAAAAAGACAGATTTTAGTAGAAGACTTGAAAACAGAAGCCTTATATACTACATACAGTATATTACAAATTGTAGATTTCTGTGTGCTTTGGTGGTGATACCCGATTGTATGCCATGGCTCTTCTTCTTTGGCCTTACTAAAGTTACTTTGTGATGATATTTGCATCCTGAGTGACCGTTTGATCTACTCTTTAGCCAGCACACTTAAATCTATAAAATCCTCACCCTTACACCATTCACAGCCCCACTCTTGAGCTAAGAATACAGTTTATTTTCTGCTTCACACATTCCTTTAAGATTATTCAAAATCTTTTCTGTTTCTCAGCATCTAACTAAGCCACATATGCTCATCACGACTAGCAAATTATATCAGCAACTCACACCTCAAACTTACTGTCATCCCTGCCTCTCTAATTTCCCTATAATTTAAGAATGATAGGTGCCCCTTTTCCCAAACAATGGAATTCCTCCATCCATCCAGGCTCTTGAACACATACATTCTCCTCATTTCTTTTTTTTTTTTTTTT